TCTGCTATTACTTGCAAGAAAACATAACTGTTTGCTTTTGTTTTTCATCAAGACCTGTTACTAAAGTTCGAGAGCTGGTAAGGCTGTAGGGCATCTAAGACAGCCCTCCCAGGTGACAAGCGGAGTCCATGTGGTTTGCATGGGGTATTGTGACAGCATCATCACCTGGCCCTGCTCTGCACTCGGCCACCTTTGGTTTTTGACTGCCTAAGCCAGTGTCATTGTCCTCAAGGAGATGGGTTTGCTGCAGTTCAGGATTTCTCCAATTCAAGTCATGTGTACATTCCCTTGGAAAGAAGAAAAAGTGTGGAGTCCAGTGATTTGTGATTGCTCACCCAATGTTATTTAAATATGTGCAAACATAACTTAGATTCCTTATGCTTAAGGTTCTTTCTTAATACAACTTTCAATCTAAGGCATCGCAGAAGTGAAATGAAAACAAATTATAAACACACACTGTTGTTGCCACAACCCCCCGCAGTGATGAAATTTAGTCAAATGGTGATGAGATTTAGTCAAACAGTGATGGGATTTAGTCAAACGGTGATGAAATTTAGTCAAATGGTGATGAGATTTAGTCAAACAGTGATGAGATTTAATCAAACGGTGATAAAATTTAGTCAAATGGTGATGAGATTTAGTCAAACAGTGATGAGATTTAGTCAAACGGTGATGAAATTTAGTCAAACAGTGATGAAACCAGCCAGTCATTGGAAATGCCCTGATTTCTTCCTTTTCCCTCATGTTGAGCCAAGTGTGCGAGCTGGTCCTGGGTGCCTGGAAGGCTGCTGGCCATGTGCGTCTGCAGTCCCCTGTGCCATCCTTGGGCCCTGTGGCCTGTGCTCCTCCTCCAGCCCCCATTTCCCTTGCTGCCTGCATGGCTGATTTTGTTCCTGCCATTGCTGCAGGTGCTGTGGGCAATGTCACAGCGTGGAAGCCCAGTGGGTAAGCCCCTCAGGCCTGTAGAAACAGCCCTTGGCTTGCAAGCTGTTTGTTTTTCTGAAGGAGGAAATTGAAGGGTGAAATCAGTCTAAGAATCTGATTTATCTCATTATTGCCAACTTTATTAGATGTTACATAAAAAACAGTCAACTTCAACCTTTTCTACCTGGCATGTTATCTGAACTAAAAAGAAAAAGAAGCAGCAGCCCTTCAAAAAGAGGTTTATCTTTATTTCTTTATGACTTCCTAAAAAGTCTCTTTTATCTGTGGAAGCTGGAGTAAGAATAAACCCCATAAGACACATTGTGAGAGACTGAGGTGATTTCTGTTGGCAGCACCCACACCCTGGGCCGGGGTCCCGCAGGCCTCACCCTGACCAGGAGACAACCTGAGAACCCAGGGCAGTCCAGGTCACACGTGGACGTCAGGAAACCACCAGCTCTTCACTGATTACAGCTTTGCGTTTCCCCACGGGGGCCACTGAACTTTAATCACGTTTTCAATAAAACCAGATACAGTAGTCCAGGAAGGTCATGCAGGTCATACGTTTCCCCACTGGCTCTCTCTACAATTTCACTGTCTTCTGATCCCATCTTATATGAGACAGTTTAATACCAAGAGTGAAAGGGGCCCTGGGGGTGTTTCTAGGTGTCCACTCAGTCCTCTGCCCCTTTGTGAGCATCGGGTTTGTACGTTTTTATGAAATGGTTTGAGACAGGCTCTCCCTTGACCCAGTCCCCGTAGCTATAAAAGTATGGACAATGCAGATAATTCTGTTAAATTAAGATACCAATTTGTCTATTAAATCAATTGCTTCCAGCCACAGCCCTTACTATTCAAATCAAGACAAAAAAAATCTGTGGAGTGTGAGGAGGCGACTGAACATGTCTCTTCCAAAAGCTCCTCTGGGGATGAGAGATGGGCAGGAAGCAGGGTGTGTTTGTGAAGGAGAAATGTGAATTTCACGTGAAAGGGAGAATGTTTTCTAACTTGGGGTTGGAGTTGGCCGTCGGGAAGCTGGTTCTGAGATGGTGGTGTCGGTGTTGGGTTGGAGTTGGCTGTGGGAAGCTGGTTCTGAGATGGTGGTGTCGGTGTTGGGTTGGAGTTGGCTGTGGGAAGCTGGTTCTGAGACGGTGGTGTTGGTGCTAGAGGTGCCACCCCTCAGGAGGCTTTCTGGGTTCTAAGGTGGCAGCGCCAGTTTATAGTTCTAGAATTTTATTTCTATCTGAAGAGTTTTAACAGAGAGTCAGATGCTCTTTTTTTCCTCAGAAATCCTCCTCTCCCTTTGCTCCTTTACAATATTCTTGGGTTTTGTACATTTCCTGGCAACAATTTGACCCTTCAGTCTCAAAGCTGGTTTAAAGGAGGGTTCTTGGCATGAAGTAAGACCGAGCCATCAGCTTTTCATAAAAGTTCTCCCAGTACAGAATCAGTATTTCTGCGTTTATATAACAAATTGCTTTCCTGTTATGTTTGGATACTGGAAGACTTTTTTCTTTTATGAAAAAGCAGCAGGCACTCATTGGGCCATGAGGTTTGCCAGGGTGCTGTGGGTAGGTGTCCAAAGACGGAAATCAGACGGTCACAGACAACACAGATTCTGTCCAACCCAGTTACCCTCCAGCAGCAGGTCTCATTCTCCATGGTCCCAGACCCCTCTACACTTAAAAGTTACTGCGGATTGCAGGTTTACCAGAGAAACTTTAAAATATGTGTTTATTAATTCATTTCAAAATAACAGTGCACCACCTACATGTTAATGTTGTTTTTGCAAAAAGCCTCTATATTTTCAAAAAAAAAAAATTAGAAGAGCAGCATTTTTTTTACACTTTTGCAAATCTGCATAATATCTGAATCCCATGAAAACCGGGCCACATGCACACTCCTGCAGTCAGCCCACAGCAATGTGTTGTTTTGCTGTTGAAGTCAAAAAGAAAAGTCAGGGAGGTGCTTGTTAGTGGCCTTTTTGGGGAACTGTGGACTCTTCCCTGATGCCACATCAAAACTCTACAAGTGGTCATCCTCTAAAGACCACAGCGTAGAATCTGAAGCCGGTCGGTGACCGCGCGCGTGCTGCTGTATCACAAGCCATTGGTCTGTCCTGCACTTTGAATGAATCTTTTTCCTGTGAACATCATGCTTGGGTCATGTGGAAGATACTGGTTCAGTGAGTTATGGAAATCTTCCAAATGCGGACACAGTTCAGTAGACAGTATTTCCAAAATCACGTGTGCAGCGTACAGGGCCTCGTACATTGCAGACTGGTTGTGTCCACAAGCGTGCTGTCCGTGCTGGATGCCAGGGCCCAAAGATGAGTCCACCTGGGCCTGCCCACCAGAAGCTCATTCTTGAGCGGGGCAGACAGGAAGACGGGGCGACCCATGTGGGTGAGATGACAGCACGGACTCAGGTAACTGGAACAAAGAAGAGGGTGGCACGCGCCGTGAGCCGGGTGGGCAGGACCCGCGCGTGCGCCGTGAGCCGGGTGGGCAGGACCCGCGCGTGCGCCGTGAGCCGGGTGGGCAGGACCCGCGCGTGCGTGTTGATCAGGCTGGTGAGCAGCGTGTGCTGGGTGGAAGGTCTTGGAAGAGCAAAAGCAGGAGAGACATGAGAACAGAGTCTTGGGTTAGACTGTGAAGACCCTGGATGCCTGGGAGGATCTGGACTTGTTTATGCATTTTTCAGGGACTTTCTATGAGAGATGGTTTTAGAAAGATCACTCTGGCCACACGGAGCAGACGGAAGGAACCAAGCTGCAAGGGAGGAAGCCAGGAAGTCAGTGCGCCACACTGGTTCTCTCATTCATTACAGAACTTGCACCAGGGCTTATGATGTGCCAGGCGCTGAGTCTGGATGCTGGGAAGCTGTTCTGTGGACACCTGCCCTTGAGGACCTGTGTCCAGTGCGCGGCAGATGAACCCACACAGGAGGGCACCTGCCCTTGAGGACCTGAGTCCAGTGTGCGGAAGGCAGAGATAAACCCACGCAGGAGGGCGCGCAGGAGGAGGCTGAGGCAGGAGAATGGCATGAACCCGGGAGGCAGAGCTTGCAGTGAGCCGAGATCGGGCCACTGCACTCCAGCCTGGGCAACAGAGCCAGACTTCGTCTCAAAAAAAAAAAAAAAAGGAGGGTCGGTGCATTCACGATCTGACCCTTTAATCCCATTGCTGTTTTCTGCCTTCCTTCTCAGTAAGCTGTTTAGCGCCGTTTGTCTATCCCCTCCTTTTTTTTGGAACACTCACACGTGATCACCCGGCTGAAAGATGGTTAGAAAAAGAAATTATTAAGAGCCTGGAAAATCCACAAACCAGTGAGCCAGCCCCTGGTGCGCGGAGACGCCTTCCCTTCCTGTGTTTCTGGCGCGGGTGCAGACCTTTCCCCAGCCTGGAGGGCGCTGCCTGTGAGAGGTTTCGGAGGCGGCTGCAGCCTCGGAATAGGCTGGTCAGCCACCGCGCTGCTGTTGGTAAAACTCAGCCTGGGACCTGAGGCCAAATGCAAGCTCAGGCCGCAACTACCAAGGAAACCTGCCCAAGTGGGCCGGACAGAAGGGAGCGCCGGGATCCCCTTTCGGGAGGTTAGATTGTTTTTTACAACGGAAAGGAAGATAAGCCCCGCCCCCGGCGACACCCTGGCCGTCCCTGGCTGCTGCCTTCTGGCCAGTGTGCAGCTGAACTCAGCTCTTACTGAAATCATTTTTAGGAATTAATACTGGTGAACTGACAGGTTTCTTTTTTAATACAAAGTTGAATAACCGCTTAAAACAAGTCAATAAAGAAGAATGAGATGTTTTTAAAATCAAGAATTTGGCCAGGCTCAGTGTCTCACACCTATAATCCCAGCACTTTGGGACGCTGAGGCGGGGGGATCATTTGAGGCCAGGAGTTCGAGACCAGCCTGGCCAACACGGCAAAACCCAGTCTCTACTAAAAATACAAAATTTAGCCGGGCGTGGTGGCGGGCGCCTGTAATCCCAGCTACTCGGGAGGCTGAGGCAGGAGAATCGATTGAACTCAGGAGGCGGATGGAGGCTGCAGTGAGCCGAGATCAGTCCACTGTACTCCAGCCTAGGTGACAAAGTGAGACTCTGTCTCTAAAAAATAACAAATAAATAAAATCAAGAATTTACTAAGCATAACGTAGTTTAATGTTATCCTTGTCCCTTTGAGAGGTGTTACAAAAACATGTCTGATGGGAGCTCGAGAGCCATGAGTCCCTCATCCTGTTTTCAGTGAATTTTTTCTCCACACCCCTCCCCAGCCCAGGAGCACAAACGGGCCTGGCCTTGACCTAAAGTCTCTCTATTTTTTTTCCTACTGCACTCAGGCCCCCAATAGCTGCTCTTCTCTTCCTCTTTTGCCTACTAGCTGGAACAGGAATTTAAATCCAAGAAGCCTGCCCCCTGTACAGGACACAGGTGGATGTGCAGAGATGGTCCAGGTGGAGCTGCCTTGGCTGAATGTCTGCAGCTGTGCCAGTTGCCCAGGCATGTGAGGAGGGCGGCCGGGGCTGCCTCACAACCTCCGGCCAGTCATCAGTGGGCTGGATGGGTGCAGTGGTGGTGTGAGGACACAGGACAGTGGAGGCCGTAATCCACGTCCCCTGAGCAACCTTTCACACAGCCACCCACCACTCCCACGTACCAGAGAGCTCTGCCCCACCCAGAGCAGGACCTGTGTCCTGAGAAGCCGCCCGGCAGCCGTGGCTTCTCCCAAAGGCCTCTGTCCCAAGCCGCCAGTTCTATGGCTGCATGGCTGCTGTGGTGGCATTCTTAAGGCCTGAGGAAATATGCGTTGAAATGCACACAGGCCCTGGGCAGGGGGAGCCCAGGAAAGCGCTTCAGCTCCTGCATATTCCTGGATGAGTTTCACCCCCCTTGGTTCCCGGCTGCTCCAGGTCAGCATCCTCTTGTGCCCAGCTGGCTTAGAGTTAACCTAGAAAACACAGTTGAGGAACTAAATCTTCCACTAAGTAAGGGTATACATTCCAAAGCCAATTAAGGGGTGATGGATTAGAAGGCTGTCCCCTCCAGTGTGGCTGCCTCCCAGAAATCACACATTCTGGACCATGGAGGTGTCAGGCACAGACCTCACCTCCACCAGCAGGTTGCCCTCTTCAGACGTCAGCACAGGCTAGAGGGCAGGCAGCGATAATGCACCTGGCCCCTGAGCACTTAGACCTACCGGCTCAGGTCTGTTCTGCCCTGCTTGGCACAGATTCCCCAAGGGCAGGGTTCTGTCCTGTGCACGGCTGAGTCTCCACTGACTTGTGGAGCTTCTGGCACATTCTTAGTCATTTGAAAAGCTATTAAATGAAGGAGCCTATGAGGTGTGTGGATTCGCCTTCACCTTGGAAGGAGCAGGAGCTGTGGGTCACCATGGATGGACATTCTAAGACTGTCCTTGCCTGGAAGCACAGAACAGCTCAGTGGGCAGCGTCCCCAGGCATGCAGGGAGCCCGCCCCCCCAGCCCAGCCCAGCCCAGATGCTCCCGAACATCTGGAAACACGGTCCCAGCTGCTCTGTGTTTCAACAGGAAGGACAGAGGCTCATGAGAGCCGGGGGCATGGGGGAAGCTGGGGCAGGGAATCCACAGGGGATGTGTCAGCTCCTCAGGGAGACGTGGTTCTGTTTTTCTTTTCATGTGGTTTCATGGAAAATACCTTCTTGAAAACTATCAGCAAAAGTCAAAGAACTTTTTACAGGAAAGAAAATAAATGCACCAACTTATCTGCCTGCGTATCAGACGTGATCCCATCAAATGAGGAGAAACCCCCCATAGAGAATGTCTACCTTCCGTAAGTGAATAAAGTCACAAAACGTATTACCTGATGATTGCCATTTTCATTTCAACATCATCCTTGTTAATTTGTCTACACAAGTTTTATTGTTCACTTAACTTGAAGCTTACTTTTAAAGACAAAATCCACGAACCCATTGCACATGCTAAGCAGTTACACTCCTGGATGCCCAGGAGCTTTTTAAGGCATCTGTCTATTCACTCATTCCCCTTTTTGGAGCAATTACTGTGCCCAGTGTTGGGGCAACAAAGGCACGAGACAGTTCTCATCTTCAAGTTGCTCCCAGGCTGGCTCTGCTACCTTAGAGCTATGAACAGAGATCTTCCTGAACTCGCCTTTTGGCCTCAGGATGATGTGGTATAGAAACAATTCATTAGCAAACAGTCGCCTAGAAATTTAGAGCCGTAACATTTGTTAAGGAGCGTGCAGGAGAAGAACACACATTGATGCTTTGAAACCAAATAAAAACTCACTGCATTATATTTGGGCTTAAGGTGTGAATTACGTGCAAGGACATCTGCTCCGTCCGAATTTCTTGAGTATCTGATGAAGGCCGGACACTTCATTCACTCCACATCTAAATTCATCGTATTGTTTGATTTCATTGTTACTGCAAACACTGGAAAGAAATGAAAAACTATCAGATAAAAGTGTTCTCAGTTCTGAGCAGCAAAGAGACTGTTAAATAATTAACATTTAGAACATTGATGGAAAATATTTGGTGTTTTCTCCCTTTTCCAAGTTAATCTAAAACAAGCCACAGTAAATGCCGCAAAACGTGTTTCCTGTACCCTCCATGGAAGAGAAGCTGCAACTTTAACAGGCCCTCAGGGCTTCCTGCCACACTAGCCCCCTGCCTGCAGCATCCATTTCAGGAGTGGGGAGAGAACCATGATGTCCATCCACATTGTTGTCCAAATGTCCAGAGTGAGTGCAGCTGGGGTGGGGGTAATGGGCTGTCAGCAGAAACACACAGAGAGAGGCTCTAAGAGAAAATGACATTGATTTGGGACATAGGACACTGCAATGAAAATACACGTGCCCTAGTAGATGATGTGCACATTCAGGGAAGTCAAAGAAGACAAAGGTTTTTAAGGGAAAAGTGAGGAGGAACACAGGATTGTTTTCAGATAAGTATCCTTGGCTACAAAGATGAATAACGAGGGAGACTCCAGTTCAGTGCCGGGCAGGCACTTGCTGGACAGATGTAGAAGTGTTTTTTGTGTAAGGTTGCAACAGCGTTTGTGCAGGATGATTTTTTCAGTCTTTGCAATTGTTTTTGCGCAGTGGTGCATGACCACCCTCCCTTTAGGGTCTGTCCCAGCTCTATTTATCACAGCATTTTTTTTTTAAAAATATGGAACGCTTCACGAATTTGCGTGTCATCCTTGCACAGAGGCCATGCTAATCTTCTCTGTATCATTCCAATTTTAGTTTATGTGCTGCCAAAGCAAGCACGTCAGAGCATTTGTTAACAGAAGCGACCCCATTTTGATTTTGATTCTTACAGCGTCCACATTTTCCACTTTGATCAAGGTCTCTCTCCAAAAGTATCACCGATCAATCCTGCTGCAATGAGGTCTGATGCTCCCTGGTGCCAAGATGGACCTGCCCTGGGTTGCTGGTGTGGTCCCACATTGTGGGCTGTGATGGGTGGGTAGGATCAGTGTCAAAACCGTTTAGCCACATCTGAGCAACAAGGGAGGTTTGAAGGGAGTGGCTGTCAGGCTAAGTCTACCTAAAATCTAGTATTAAGTTCAATTTTGTCTTTTTCCATAGTCTTCTGTTATCATCTGAAAGTGCTGGGCGAGCATTATTCTGTTAGGAGTTGCACGTCTACAAAAATTTAACAAGTAACAAATACCAAGTTTTAAAAGGGGAAATTCAAAGTAAAATTATTAGTAATGTGACTATCCTAGTCTGCATAATGGTTTTGAGCCACGAACCTAGGCTTAAAGGCAGCCAACTGGATAAATCAATTGGCCATGATCCCGTCAAGTGAAATAGGTGGGCATTAAGAGGGGTAAAAGTCTTATTATGATACAGAGTTCTGTTCTAACGTCGGAAAAAGCTGTCAACAGCATGGAACCATCCAGTTCTCAGCCTGGTTTGCAGTTTGAACGTCTCTGGCTATGGCAGTGGATGTTTTGGTAAGTTGGGTGTTCCTCAAACATCAGACATGAGACTTGTTCCTTAAAATTTATATAGTTTCAGCTTAAAGGGCTTTAGGAAGAGAGCAGTATTCAATTTTAGTAACTCTATGTAAGAAAGTTGGATTGGAGGAGTTAGGATAATTCAAGTCTAGTCTATAGGTAGCTAACCAGAGCTTGAAAACAATGCACAGAGCTGCAATCTAATAAGAGGTGTATTATAGCTTTTCTTCAGAAACATTTTATCCCTACATTTGTCGCACAGGAATCTGAGATTTAAAAACTTCTAGGGGTTAGGAAGCCAAACCACAGCAGACTTTAGATTTTACTTACAGTCTTAAAGTTCCTGCGCCTGCCAGGAAGTGACCTTTTTTATCTACTCACTGTATGTCTGGGAACCCTTGAAACCAGGCATTCTGTGTACATTCACCAGTCAAAGTCTGAGTAAGAAACAATTTTTAAATGGTATTCTGTTGTAAAGAGAGAGCCGATTTTTATTAAACTTAGCCAATAACTTTATTGCCATAAAAATGCTCATGAATGATTTTCAAATTTTGGAGAAATCAAGAAAGAAGAAAAAAAAACAAATGCTTCCATCACAAAAGTATTCTTTACCAAATTGCTGTAAATTATAGACAGTTTAAGAGAGAAAATGTCCTTACACCTGGAAAGCAAAACAGTTAAGTAAAGAACTAATAATGTTTTAAATAAAAATAACAAAAACATTATCAATCTCAAGTGATTAATCTTTGTTCTACTTGACCTTGATGAGCAGTTTCATGAGCCCACCAGTTTCTTCATTAGAGTTTTTTAAAAATTGTACTTATTGGTCGGGCACGGTGGCTCAAGCCTGTAATCCCAGCACTTTGGGAGGCTGAGGCGGGCGATCACGAGGTCAGGAGATCGAGACCATCTGGCTAACACGGTGAAACCCGTCTCACTAAAAAATACAAAAAACTAGCCGGGCGAGGTGGCGGGCGCCTGTAGTCCCAGCTACTCGAGAGGCTGAGGCAGGAGAATGGCGTAAACCTGGGAGGCGAGCTTGCAGTGAGCTGAGATCCGGCCACTGCACTCCAGCCCTGGTGACAGAGCGAGACTCCGTCTCAAAAAAAAAAAAAAAAAAAAAAAAATTGGTACTTATTCTATTGATCTTAAAGTTATAAGAAATGTATATGTAAGAGCACCTGTTGAAATCTTTTCCATGAGTCTGACTGCAGATGCTTTTAGGGGAGAATGTAAAATAATAACTTAGAATAGCCATGGTTAAAGCTCTGATGGAATTTTATTATAATCAGCAAGTAACAAGGAAATAGTTATTTTTATAGCACACAACATAATATCCAGAATTAGGGCTGATGACATATTGGAGTTCTATGAATTTATATAATTTTTGAAACATTCATATCCATAACATACATAAATGTAACTGAATGATCTAGTATCACTTATCATTTCACAATGCTTTCCGTATAATTTATCGAATAAGCCTTATTATTTAATATCTCTACAAGATGAGAGAGAACATTCTGTGAGGCTCTCCAGGGGCCCAACTAGAAAATTTCAAAGTTAATTATAGGCCAAAAAGACTGAATTTAGAATTTCAATCCTGGGGAAGCCTGCCAAGGATATAAAAAGGTTCAAAACACTTGACCAAAACAGAATGACAGGTCACAGTGAAATAACTTCATTTAACCAGAATACGGTCATTTAATCAGAGTAATAATCAAGAGACTTCACAAGCAATACAGAAAAGTACATGGATTTTAAAACCTTAACCCTTTTCAAGCTGTTTTCTTAAGTAATCAAAAACCTAATGAAGACAACACAGGAAACTGTCTTGGTAAAAGGTAAATTCTTTGGGCTTTTTAGGCCAGTTACCAAGAAGGTAAAGAAACCCTCCTGCGCTGTGATTGCCCTTCCTTCTGGGAAGCCCATCCAAGTATCTTGGAAATGGAATCTGATGAAAGGTACTTGAATTTAATTAAACACAGAAAAAAAATGTGTGTCCAAACTTATAAGTGTGTCCCATATTGTAAGAAAACCAGTACCTTCAGCAAGTCAGAGTGCACAGCTCTTAGTGACAGCATGTGAGATTTCCTGGTTGCACGGAACAATTCAGACTCATCAAGAAAGCCAAGAGTACAGAATCAAGTTATACGGGGGAAAGCATTGCTTTTCTAGGTCTCCAAGGTACACATTTCTGCTTCAGGCCCTCACCACAGAATTAGAGCTGGAGAAAAACGTTACAGGAGCTGATGAAGTTGGAGAGAGTTGTCATCTCAGGCCTCAGAGCAGAGTGCTGATGCCTGGCCGGCAAGTCACGTGCAGCGAGATCCAGCAGAAGAGCCTCTGTGATATGAACCTGAGAGGCTTCAAGAGGAAAACGCTGCCTTGAGAAATGAAACTACTGTTCTGAATGAAAAAAGCAGATCTAATCTGAAACTAGGGAAACTCAATGGAGACTGCAAAACAGAAAAGAGAAAAGCTGCTGTTAAGACGAGATCAAAATTTCAAGAAAAGCTTGTTCTAACATAGAGTACCAAGTTTTTAGTTTTGTATTCGTGTATTTTTAATATTGAAGCTCAATCTTCAGAAAGACTTATAAATAATTTCCTTCTAATTATAGCCAACTTAATTCCTTTTATAAATTCATCCTTCACAAACCTCATCACAACTCATTGCGACGTTTGGCAACATACTTAGAATTTCTGCTTTGTGCCCCATTTACGCTTTCTTAAATAACCAGCTGTTTTAAGACAACAATTTTTACTCAAGATTTTTTCTTATATAAAATTATTCTCTTTTCTTTTTAATAGCCTTCCTTACCAAGAATGCATCTTCATACCCACAACATTCCTCGTATCTCTCTCTCCTATTTACTGGTTCCTTTCTGTATTGCCTCTGTTTCCTTCCTAAATCTATATTTGGAAACAACCTTTAAATAACCTGTAAATTAGACAGAATTATTCTTTTTTCTCAATAAAGAACCCATTTTATGCCTTTCTTATTTTTCTAATCAAAAACACATTTTCCTTTTTTGTATGTTTTATATGTAGAATTATATATATATATTAGAATTTTAATTCTTAGTAACTTTAATTTCTGGCAAGCAATTTTGAACTGTTTGTCACATATTGGTATTTTATGGATGAGAGCCATTTTATAATTCTTAGAAATATGTTTCTCCATATAACATAGTGTTTTATATATATTAATAGACCCAAATACACTTAGTCTTTCTATAAAATATAAGAAGACAAGAACAAATTTATATTTATGTTTAGCAATTGATGTTTCAGGTTTTTAAATCTTATTTAGAAATGATCTAGACATTTAATGAGTATCTGTTGTTTAACTGAACATAATGTTAAGATTTCAAATTACATGAAAAGCTTATTTATAAGCATTTATTCCATTTACATTTACCTAATTTATTTTTAACAATTTGCCTAGATTAGTTATGAAAACT